ACAGCCTCGTAAGACCGAACTTACGACAGGCATAAACACTGATGCCTGAAACCGTGTGAATTGCGCGTTTCTCTCATTGTTTTTTCAGAACAAAATCTACCACCATATAATAATCTTCTCTCTCTCTCTCTCTCTCTCTCTCTCTCTCACCACCTCCAACAACTACACCTCAAGTTCACCTGTTTTATTTTCCACACAACACAATTATGCTCTTTTGACAGATATCAGATCAGGCACAGCAGATCTTGGACCCGAATTACCATCCCTTCAGAAAGTTCGTTTTTTTAACCACAAATGTTCCCTCTGTATGTGCGAGAGACAGTGTCTGTGCTACAATCACCAAGTGTTTTTGTTTTGGTCAGGTTAGTGTTTTTTTTCCTTTGACCTCTCAAACCATCGCCAGGTGTCTGCTGTTTGTGTTTTTGCAAAGATTTTGAATTCCTAGCATATCCATTAAATCAGTATATATTCTTATTTGATGGATGCAGCATGAGTATGGGCTGCAAGCTTGAGATGTCGTATATAAATATTGTTTCTAAGAATTTATTCTTGTACTGCAAGTTTTAGTTGGTTGGCATACATTGTTTATCTGAATTTTTGAATGGTTGGTTGGTCTTCTTCCACTGCTTAGGTCTATTTCAAAAGACAAATATTCGTGGAGTTTTGAGGAGTAGCGTCATATACTACAACTCTGGCCAACTCTCTAGCAATATTTTCACCAAGTGTTGAAGGTGTCGGTCCTTCCTTCTGTGGTTCGCGGCTTTGTGTGGACAGGCTTCTATTTCTTGTTCTGCATCTTCCCATCGATTATGGCTAACTTTTGAATCACTCTTGCTTCAATGTTACCGCTATATTTGAGTCAGACAAGATGTGAGCGGCAATAGGATTATAGGAATCGTACGAAGTTGGAATGCGCAAAGAAGATTGAATAGAATTATAAAAAGGATTCAGAACAAGCTTTATCTTTTGTCATGGCCTTGTGCAGGTGTCTCTCCTTTTTTACTGGAAAGAAAGAGAAAAACAAGGTAACAGATATGCACTTATATTGGGTGTGCTTGATTTGTATTTCAAAAAACTATATTGGGTGTTTTCATCTACTGTTTTCAAAAAGTATTTTTTAAGTAATAAAAACAAAATATAGTAAACAGATATCCACACTAAGCTCTTGTCTCCCACACGCAGCACCACTTTAACGACTTAGATCCTTGAGGTTGGACTACAAAACAGAAAAACTGATGAGAAAATATCGTATACCTTACCTGCTTTGTTTATTTCTTCAGAGTGCTGCTGAAGGGTCTGCAACCGGGGACCTTAAAGCTCAACTTGGCGAAATACAGCACCCGAAGATTTCATCAGAGCGTCGTGATTTGAAGCCGGCCACCCTTGATGTCACGGTACCCTTTGGTGTGCAGAAGAATTCAAGGGGAAATGTGAGGATTATGAATCATGAGAGTCCTGCTAAAACTGAAGTGGAGGAAGCTTATGAAGGAGAAGACGAGCATGAGCAGTCTCCTTCCATCAAGAGGGAGCTCTCTGATTTTGATCTTCAAGTCCACCAAGCTGCTGCAAACAAAGGAATATGTGATCCATCAAATGAAGAGTTAAAATACCCGAGTCTGTATGAAGACCAAGCTAACATTCAATTCGAAGACACAGACCATAAATACAGCATAAAGAGTAATGATATGATCCAAAGTGGACATGTCAGTGATCCCGGGATTGGCAAGACTCACTTTTGGGCTTCTCCAGAGCTCAAGAGATCTTGTTCTGACCTGGAAAGAAGGGATGTACTTATGAAGACTGCTCATCTCTTTCCAACTTCCAAGTCACAGTCTTTTGAGGATTTACACGGATTATCAGCATATCAGATGGTTAATCTAGAAAGCCCCAGGTCTGCGATGACTCACTGCAGTGCTGATAAAGTGATGTTGAAAAGGCATTCCTCAAGTCAAGTTCTCCCTTCAAGAAGTAAAAGATTGTGGTGGAAGTTGTTCCTCTGGAGCCACAGGAATATACATAGGTCTAAGTTAAGCAAATCGACACAGAAAAATCCTGCCATTGCTGCTTTGAGTAGTCAATGTGGGTACTCCTCCGACACCCTTGAACCGAAGCAAGGCAAGGCATTGAGACACGAAGAATCACCCTCACCAACCTCATCTTTTGGGGAATACTTTCAGAAAAGATGCGATGAACAAAATATTGTTGACCAAAGGTGGAGCAGATTTCAGAAAGACCATTTTGGATTTTGGCCACAAAACCAATGGGTTGCTTTCTCAGCCGAATCATCCTCGCTTAGCAGAGTGGATGAGTGGGTGAAAGATCTCGAAATTCAGCAGCCACCTCCCGAGGATGACTTTGGTGACGAGGGCATTGGAAACATTGCCTTCCCACCTTCTCCTGATAATGGTAGATCAATGGCAAGAAGCACATCTCAGTTGATTCGACATTCAGATGCCAATATTTCAAAAGAGATAATGAATGCCAATAGTCTGGTCCAGTCCCTGAACCCCGCCTCAACTGGTGCTCATATATCAGGCATTGGTATAAAAGCCATTCCCTCTCTTTCACACTTCTTCAGTCTCCGCTCTGTCAATTTGTCAAGCAATCTTATAGGTATGCTTTTCTGAGAGAAAAAAAAAAGTTACCTTTAACATCAGTTAATCATAACGATAACACTAACTAAACTGATTCGCTCTCCTTATCATTGATTTGTTAGCTCACATCACGCCTGGATTTCTCCCAAAGGGTATTCATACCCTGAATCTTTCAAGAAACAAAATCAACATTATTGAGGGCCTCAGAGAATTAACCCGGCTCCGGGTACTTGATTTAAGTTATAATCGCATCTCAAGAATTGGACAAGGTTAGTTTCTATATTGGCTGATGCTCAATGAAGGTTAATTTGTAGGCCTGTGCAGTATTTTCTATAATTTAGTTACCCTCTGTGTTCTTATCAGGATTATCAAATTGTACCTTAGTCAAAGAGCTATATCTTGCCGGGAACAAGATAAGTGATGTTGAGGGGCTCCACAGGTTACTGAAGCTGACAGTTCTGGACTTGAGCTTTAACAAGATCGCAACCACAAAAGCATTAGGCCAGCTGGTGGCTAACTACAACTCACTTCAGGCCTTGAGTCTGCTAGGAAATCCAATTCAAAGCAACATCAGTGATGAGCAGCTGCGCAAAGCAGTTAGTGGTCTTCTTCCAAAGCTTGTGTACCTGAACAAGCAATCTATAAAGCTTCAAAGGGGACGAGAAATACTCACTGATAGTGTTGCCAAAGCTGCACTTGGGAACAGCGGCCACAACTCCTACAGAAGAGTACTGAAGAAAGGTGGTGGCCAAGGAGGGCCAAGTTCCTCAGGTGTGCATAGAGGCGGTGCTAGTGTTTCCCACAAAAGCAGGCACAGGTCAAGGAGCCAAACTAAGCGTCATTAGTTCTCTGTGCAATTTATCAGTCTATTTCTAAGACTTGAGGAAGTGGAGGAGTAATTTTCAAACATGTTTTTACCAATATTTGCTTCAACCTGAAACCCACCTGTGGAATAAGCGTTGGTTGTGATTGTTACTGTGTTTGTTTCAACCTGTTAGTTATCTTGAGCGTTTGATCAAGACTGCTCCATTCGTGAGAGTCTCTTGGTTAGACTTGGATGTAGAACAGTGTTCATCGTTTAGCTGGTTTCCCGATATACTTAAAAGTGGAATAATGAAGATATGAAAATCTGTGGATTTTCATCTTGGAGAAGTTTTTCTGCAGCCTTGTTTTTTTTATCTTTTTTTTGGCAATGACGCCACACTACGTTTAAACGTTTTAAGTTGCTTTGAAATTCCCTCACTCATTGTCATTCGTAGTGATCAATGTTGGATGTAAAAAATTTGGAACTGAAATTGAGAATGTTCCATGAAACAGTACATAATCAAATTGTCTGCCAAATCTGTTATATAAGGTAGCCCAGCTAAAGATGATAGCTTGTAAACATGCTAATAAACAGCCTCAAAAAGGAAGAAAAGGGGAAGCATAAACTACATAATAAAAGAAATTTTAATACAGAATAGAGATATGCGATCTTAAATATATACATATACAGAAGAAAAAGAAGACAGGGTAGCAGTTTGTTGACCACTGTAGACAACCGAAAGAATAGCAACAAATTTAGAATTTTATATTATCTTGTTATTAAATACTTTTGAAAAATCAATTCTTATGGTTTTAAGTAACCTATTGTTAGGTGTGGCTACTTAACGAGTGTACCTTTAGTATCAGTTAATAACATAATATGTTTTTATATCTTTAGGTTTGTGAGAAAAGTTCAGTACAACTTTTGAATTATTTTCAATTCAACTTTCACATTTTTAAATTTATGTATTTAAATGTATCTAGTCTTGTATACTTATCAGTCATCATTTTTTTTTTCATCTTATGATTTCCTTAAATAAATTTTATTTTCTGAATCTTCGATAGAAATGATCGAAATCGATCACGACTTTCTAATCCAATATTAGATTAGTATATCTTGATGCTTGCGTGCTCAATATTTCCATGGTAGTTTCAAAAAGGGTTTCATCGATAGAGTATTTCACCCACCCATTAAATTAATAATTTTCCAGGCACTGTTTATGATGTTTAGATTACTTTTAAATAATTGCCTACCTGAGCAACACCAGTGGTTGCTGGTTACACAATGTCGTATGCAATAGTAAAGAACTTCCGAAATCATTGTTTAGTTATTTGATTTCTACTTTTACATCATTACCTGGCGTGCTATAATTTTTGTTTCCGCAAATAGGAACAATTTGGGGGGAGACTGGGACAAAGACACCAATTTGCTTGAAGCAGAAGCAAAAGACAAAGAAAAATAATGCAATAGTATTCATTTTAAGGGGAATGTCAGCACACTACATCTCATGGTTATCACATTTAAAAAAGAGAGTCTTGAAAGAAGTCAAAACTAACAAATTTCAATCAATAACAGAGAAAAACTACTGAATTTTTACGCAATTGAGGAAGTATTGATTGTATACTTTATTTTAATGAGTAACGAAGAATTACAGTACAAAAACTATGGAGTCGAAGAGGACCCGTGAAGCAATTAACCAGCATTGGTTAAATTGTCCAAAGACACTCTAATCTTTTTCAATTCCCTTATAAAATAGTCATTTGATTTCTGTTTAAGAGCACCCTTAAAATGGAAGAGTTCCAAATTCCAATCAGTCTTTGTTTTCTTGACTTTCAAACCCATTTCATTCTCCTCACTCTGCACAAATTTCTCTTCCTGGGAAGCACAACGCAATCAACTCAAAAACATCAAGTAAAATGATGCTCTTCCACCCCGGGATCATGTTCCATTTGGTCTACCTGAGCATACTTATAAAGCTTCTCATTAAACAAGACCTGGGGATCCTTCTCAATCATAGCCCCATTCTCGTCATAGGCATCCTTCAAGAACACAGCCCAATTCATCTCAGTCCCGGCCAAGTAAAACGCTCTGGGCTGTTTCCGCAGCATCTGATAAGTATGCTTCGTCAAACTAAACTCCTCCTTGAACTCCACAAGGTGATGAATGGATGCCCTCTTCTCCAACGTCAAGCTCAAGAACTCATGAATCAACCCAACCCGATACTTTTCCGCCTCCAACGTCCACAAATCAAACCTATGCCCATCCGAATAGGGAGACACCAAGGGAAGCGAGTTCAGCAAATCAAGCTTCCTATTATCGTCCAATTCCAAATCCAAATCCTTCCCATACTTCACCGGAAACCTAAACTTCCGCTTAGCCGAATCCTCGTTAACAACGAACTCCCTCTCAAGAGCACTCACGGCGAGAAGCGGGTCCCACTTCACCAACTCCAGCACCCTCTTGCCGTCGCTATCAACCGCTATTTTGAAAAAGTCAGGGTATTTGGCGACCCTGTCGCGGAAATCATCGGGGATGCCAAAGAGTGTTCTGCAGTGGTGGATTTTGCTCAAGGGAATGCGGTTGCGAGCGGACATCATAAGGAGTTTGCGAACCTTCTCGACGCGGTTCAGTTCCATTGCGTCCATGAGGGAGTGCTCCTCAGCGAGAAGGTCCTCCATGAGATCAGTGAAGCCAAGCCATGACTTGCCGTCGGTGTGACGGTAGGTTTGAAAGAGGAGGGGGTGGCGCTGGAGGAAGCGGGAGACCTTACGGCCGCGCGGGAATCCGAGCTCGCGGTGGAGCTTGCCGGCGTCATCGAGGCGGAGGACGTGCTCCGGCTGGGCGGAGAGGAACTGCTTGGAGCGCGTGACGAAGCGTAGAAGGGCGTCGCGGTGGAGAATGCGCTCGAGAGAGGGGATGAGGTTGGGCTGAGTTTGGACCGGAGTGGTTCGAGGGCTGGGCTTGGACTTACGTTTTTTCTTGAACTTTTTGGGGGTTTTGGTGACGAGGAAGGAGGTGGAGAATGGGGCTGTGGAGGAGAAAAAGTTAGGGTTTAGGGTTTTTGAGGATTCGATTGTGGAGACGAAGGAGGAGAAGCGCCAAGCCATTAATAGCGGCCAGAATCATTGATCATCAACGCTTTTATACGTGTGGATAGCAATCAACGGTGATTATATGATCTAAAAGTACGTGATTAAAAAATATATAACGCAAAAATATTATTTCCGACCTGCCGGATTCGAACCAGCGACCTAAGGATGTCTGTTAACAACTACAGTCCTCCGCTCTACCAACTGAGCTAAGGTCGGATTTAAGAGTAATAATCAACGCTTATTAAATGATCCAAAGTATGTGATTTTAAAAAAATATTATAAATGATCTTCACAACACTTTTTTAGTATAAATTTGATGTTAAATGATGCATTTTTCTGTAATGTCATCATAACCCTTGTTGTATGTCATAATTCGAGGAACGTATAAAGTTTTCTAATAAGGGAGTAAGAATACAAATATCTTAACTTAATTCTTCTTATTTTGTTTTACTTGTTGCCTTCAAAGTGTCTGCCTTCTTAAAATGATAATTTTGTCCAGATTAAATGTGAACTTTATATATATACTCAGGATATTGTTCTTAGTTATTAGCCCAATTCAATTCCAATCAATGAATTCCTGATTAAGTAGTTTTAATAGGATCCTCATTATTTATTAATTCTGATTTATGTTAATTGAGAAACCCTAATCTTCGAATTAGGAAGATGAACAGTACATATCCTTTTACATTAGATGTTAGACCACCATCCAATGAAACCAATCCTTAATACGTAGTGCTTCAGTTTTAAACCATTATGATGATTGAACTTGAATTATAATAAAAAAAAATGTTAAATTAACTATTAACTGAAATTGTTATATGTAAAAAAACACAAAGATGCGAGTTTATATAACATAGCCGGACATGCACATTGTGAAGAGGTAGTTACCATTATCTGTCCAATTCAAGTAATAACCAATTCACCTCTTTAATGTGACTAATGATGGCATTTATACTAAAGTTTTCAACTCAAATGAAAGATTATTGAAATTAACCTGAGATAGTGAAAACCAGATAAAGGAAAAGTACCCATACACTGCGCCGTAATTTGATTTTACCGATGAGTCACCTTTGGAAAGAGATGAAAACTTGGATCACACTCTAAACTGATTCTCCAAGCACGGAAATATAACTGAGCTTTAATCATATAAGGTAATTCCGGCATAAGAACCCAATTAGGTAATTTTCAGAGGCTAATGTTATAAATGAGCTTGATTCCACGTTATAAATATTGACAAGATTTATCAAAATATGGTTTTTCTGGGGTTTTACAGGAATGAGAGCAGAAAAATAATTGTATAGGGATATGGGGGGAATTTACTTATGTATCATCTCATCATTCATCTTGCTAATCTTAAATCATCATGTGTGTAACTGTACTCAGATATCACATGAAAAATTGAATGAACCAGTATATACTTTCTTCATCCGCTCTGCTCTGCTCTGCTCTGCTCAGCTCCTCGTTTGATAATTACAAGGCCCTATGTATATATGCCTTACGGCTACATAGGAGTTGTGGTGGTATCATTGACGAGAATTCACTGTTTCTTCTATGGTTTCTTTTTTCTGTCCAAAATTTTCAATCCCCACCTTCTATGGTGGAGCATTATGATAATAAATCAACACTGTGAAAATGAATATATGAATATTATGGTCTAATTTCCTCTGGACTTTTAATGAATTAATTTCCCTGTTTCTTAAAGAAAGCTTTCTGACAGATCAGGAGTCTCTGATCGCTGTCACTTTCAATTTCTACAACTCGAGCATCCCACTTTAGCCGTTTCGTTAGAGCTCTGGCTGACTCTATAAAAGGAACTGTGTCACGAATTATAATCCAACCCTGCAAATATCATCACCAATTGTCACCATATCAAATGGCCTAAAAATATACCAATCCATTCAAAAGGAACTACCTAAGCTATCTGGTGATAGCCTCCTGCAAATCTAAACCCCTTAGTACCTAAGAAGAATCCATTTTAGCTTTATGCTTCCACAGGTGAAAAACAAAAATCAAAGCTTTCCCAAATGCACTTAATTTGATGATCACATTAGAGTTACTAGGCTGACCCTAGTGATTCTTAAATGGAGATTGAACTTACTGCACAATGAAGATGCATACCCTACATATATATACAATACCATGCTGATAGTAAAATTTTTAAAACTGGCGTCACTGTCAAAAAAAAAAGTAAGGCCATAAATCACACAATATTAGGCAAATTGGCAATAAATCTTCAGCCAAATTAATATCCAGTTAGTACTAAATCACATGCTCAATCCAGGCCATTATGATTTAATTTAATAAAGAAACAGAATCTATTGCATTGCTTTATGACAATAAAACCCAACCAAAGTGAAATCAAGAGACTCCTTTTTTTATGTGTTTAGCTAAGGTTTGGAAAAGGTTATCCTCACTCCAGTGTATAACAAAAATAGATTCACGAATGTTCATAGCTTTATATATTTATACCTTATAACATTATCGGATGATGTGGGTAGGAAAACAAAACACTGTAAAGTTAAAGGACCACAAATGAAAAGTCAAAGCCCCAGAGTATATTTACATACCTCCGGCCGAAGTATCCTGTCAATTTCAATGAACACGTCAAGCATCGCACATCTGTGCTGCTGAGCGAATTCAAGGGACAAAAGTCCTGCTGCATGCACCAAGTCATACGTTCTAGGGTACGTTGGAAAGGCCTCACACCTAGAAACCACAGAAGATCAAAATTGTAAGAAATATGTAACTGGCGACAAGTGTTCAGAAACAATGCCCTTTTCAATTAACAGTGGCCCTTTCACAAGGAAGATAAGTTTAGAATATTTAATCTAATCTGCAAAACTTTGGCATGTGATAGAGTTTAAAGATATAAAACCATTCCTAAGCACCGTTTAAAAGCTTAAGTTTAAAGGTGAGTCATTCCTTACAGCTCCTATTCACAATTTAATTTAATTTTGGCGTTGAGTGGTATAAGGTTGTTCACTGTTCATGCTTAAGCACGAATAGCTTTGTCATTAAGGGAAAGTTAGTGATAGGTTAAACTAGTTCTTGACTGATACAATCTTCAATATTTATCAACTATTTTCCAAGAAACAAATGCTAAGATGGATGTGTGGTCACTCAAGAAAGGACGATACACAAAATATTTCTATACAAGGAAATATAGGTGTGATACCATTTGAATCAATAATAAAAAGAGAATTTTGTATGAATTTTAGTCATGTGAAAAGGGGGAGAAGGAAATCAAGAAGGACAATGGAGAAATAAGAGTAATCTCATGGTGAACGATTATCTCCAAGGATTTTGTCTTTTGACAAAACCAAATGACGTCATGATTCCTGTAGTTATCTTACCCAATGAGATAAGGTTTTTGTTGCTGGATTACCATAATTTTTCAGACAAAAAAGTCAGCCAACTGAATTTACTTATTTTACATCAAACAAAACTAAGAAACAGAGAATATTCAAACCTAACTGCAAATGTTATATCCTCCCCACCAGAACTTAAATAAGTTCTGATATGTACAAGGCATCCACCATGGAACGCTTATGTCACAAGGAAAAATTGAGTAACTGAAAGAAGTTAGTTTAGAGGGGCAATTATGTGTGTGGATGAGAGTTATTTTATCAGTTATGTGTTGCCATAACATAACTATTTTACTGGGCAGTTACTATATTAGACAGTTACAAGTGTTATAGTGATATATGGAAGTTTGAATGTATGTTCGAAAGAGAGAACTATAAGTCGTCAGGGCTTAGGCCTAACAATCGTTGTCAATTGTCTGTGAAATTTCTTCAGCCTAACAAGTACAGTACACACAACCAACTTTAAGGCTCTAATGGTTACATTTTACACAAGGAAATCAATAGTTCTATATATTATGAAGGTATCAAAATGTTAAAACAAAATTGGAAGAAAAGGCAAGGAAGAAATATTTTTAGCATATGGCCTAGAATTTCAGCCAAACAAGAAAAGGGAAAACAAAGAATCATGAAATTCTAAAATAAGAGAAAGAAGCATAAAATACCAATCATGCATAACGCCAACATAACCTCGGTCCAGGATCAAGGGAAGATAGTTGGGTGCATTCGAAGGAACCACATTCATTACCCATACAGATTTTCCAGCGTGCAACAGTGCAGAATTAAAACCACCAAAATGAGCACTCATGTCAAGCACATTTCTTAGCATGTTATAAGGTGGCGGAGGATCCTCATCACCAGGTCTCTTTGGATGATCAGAAAATATTAAAGGTGATAGAAGAGACCAGTAATTACGGACTGATGCTCTCCAGCTCTCAGAATCCTCAGAAAATTCATCAGATTGCAACCCTGATGCAAGTAAATAGACACGTATTAAGATAACCAACCTGACAGCAGATTTCGTTCAGTTATATAGTACAGTGAAATCCTTCCGTTAAGAGGAATGTAAAAGTAAATGTAAAAGAATACAACAATTACCAAAGTTTTCAAGATCCTTTTTGTTCAATTGATCTCTGGAAGGCCAAGTTTGCCTCTGCTCAATAGAAATCCAACGGCTGCTATGTGTTCCTCCTATGCAGTTTTTTAATTCTCGATAATATGGAGACTCCACATCATACCCTCTGCCACATAAAGGAGGGGGAGAACTGTTCTTTCTGGAAATCCAAACAGACAGAAAATGCAAAGTATTAGGAACGTCTATAAAATTGTATGCATTATACGAATTTGGAATAATGTGCTGAAATAAGTGATAGTGGAGATTGAATAATTATTGAAGGTTTTTTTTAAATATTTAGCAGTACTGATGTGGCTCTTTATATTTATAACTGTTAGAGCATTGTTATAGCATTAAAGTTATTTTTCAATCTTTGAAATGTCCTTGAATGTCAAATTGTCATGAAGAATATAAGCAGAAAGGAAAAAAAAATAAAAAGAATATAAGCAGAAAGGAAAAATAAAAATAAAAAATAAAGAGTAATTCAGTTTCAAATTATCGTCCTCTTGTTCTAAATTTTCTGCACAATTTTAAAGAACGAATGTTTCTTGGGTGTTAAATACCAGCATCACCTCTCGAATACCACCAACACAAATT